TGTATGTTTTTAATTTCATATACGTGAATCTCACCAAATACATGCTTGCATTCTTACCAGAATAAAATTGGTATTTTTACCAACAATATAAACTTGTAGATCTATAATAGGATGAACAACGATTTTATTTTATTTTATCTTTTAATTTTTCATATTTTAGAAATTACGTGGGACCTGCGATATAAAAAGAGATTTATTGTGAAAACATAATGATAAATGTAAAACCTATAATAAAAATAATAGGCATGACACCATATCATTTGATCTCTATAGTTTTAACTTAGTTATAACTTAATTTTTTAACTTTGATTTATTACAACTCAGTTCTTAAAAATTTGACTTGGTCGTAACTCAATTTATAAATTTTAATTTGTTGCAACACACTCCCTATAGCTTTAACTATTTAAAATAGCTAGGGAAAATATCAATAAAGGATCCCTGAAGAAAATTTATATCAATCAACGATTATTTATTGTCAAAATTTAAATAGATATTTATTGATGCCGGTTAGTATTTTATCAACAAGTATTTATTTAAATTTTAACAATAACTCATTTTAAATTAACAATAATTCATTTTAATTTTAACAATAATCAGTCTTTGACTGATATAAATTTTTTGACAGTCCTTAATTATTATTTTTCCTTTAAGATGTTGGTCCTTATATCTTGAAAATAAAATCCTAAAAATTAAAATTATGTTGACATTTATGAATTAATTTTAAATTAAAACCTTTAATTTGATAAAGATTATAAAGATTTAATCTTTCTAATTTTATTTTTTAAAATATGTGAACTAATATTTTAAATGGTTAAAATTATAAGAATTAAGTTACAATAAATTAAAATTTAAGAACTGAGTTATAATGAGTCAAAGTTTAAGAATTAAGTTTATAATTGAGTTAAAACTATAAAAAATTAAATAATTAAGTCTCCATATTTTTTATATATATAACATAATAGTGTAAAATGTATTTGTCCCACTATAAATCTATAGAAAATGAACAATAATTTTTATTTTTTAACATTTTTATATTTTTAGAGATTATGTGGGATCTGCAACATAAAAATAAGTATAACATTTATAGCAAAAAAAAAAGTAATAAATGTGAGACTCATAAAAAAAATAATAGTTGTAAGACCCTACCTATTATTTGGTGCTTATATTTTTTATATGTATAAGATAATAATGTAAAATGTGTTTGTCCTACAATAAATCTATTGTGGGATGAACGAAAATGAATTTTAATCTAACATTAAAAATAAGTGTGAGGTTTATAGTGAAAAAATAGTGATGTATGTGGAATTCATAATAAAAATAGTATGGTTGACACCCTATTATTTGGTACTTTTATTTTTTATATGTATAAAATAATATCATAAAAAGTGTTTGTCCAACTGCAAGATGAATGGTAATTTTTTAAAATTTCTATATTTGGTAAGATAATGTGGTACTTGTGATAAAATTAAACATAATTATATAGATAAATTTACTATTAAATTCTACCAGTATAATTTGTTAGGGGATAAATTCTAGTAATATTTTAATATTTTAAATTTTTTAGATTTTGAAAGATCATGTGGCACTTGCTAAATTATTCTAATAATATTTGTTGGTGGATAAATTTTCTTCTTTAACTAATTATGCGGAGCAGGACTTAATAGTAAATGTTTTAAAATTTGATTTCAAATTTTTTCTCATATTAATCAAAGGAAGAGCGCAAGTATGGTGGAAACCCAGTATATTAATCCTTGATACAACATATTTAAAATAAAATAAGTTATTATTTATATTTTTAATATGCATGTGAAAAATAAAATTTAAAATAAAATAACCTGTTGTTTATATTTAATTTAAATAAATAAAAAATTCTAAGTAGACTAAAATAAATAATTTTATTAATTTTTAAATTTATATTTTATTTTTACCTTCTAAATATACAGGAAACAAATCTAGTTAAATTTAGATGGTATTATCCTTGATAAAATTTATTAAAATCTCTTTACTTTTTCATAAATGGTTTTAAGTAATCTCTTTACTTTTTCATAAATGGTTTTAAGTATGGAAGCAATGTTATGAAAATCAAACCTATCATTAAACCAAATAAGGTATTAGTTTATAATTTAATGGTTGAATCATGGTTCAATCGGTTATGAATAAGTTGACATATTTTAAGTAACGTGTGCTTAAAATAAAAGAAAATATTTGTATATAACAATGTGAATGAACTTTTAAATTTTAAATAAAATAATATAAAATAAAAAGGTAATATCCATCAATATTCCATCACTTTAATCCAATATATACACTCATTTTATAATTTATAACTTTAAAATATACACGTATTTTATACATATTTCTTGCATTTTTTGTTCATTTTTTTCATTTATCAGTGCTTATTAAATATAAATATGCATACATTTTAGTTATAAATATGAATTAAAATTCTTAAAATAAAAAAGTTGAAAAACCAATTTGCTCACTGGTTTTGCTAGTTTTTATCGGTTCAATCATCTCTTGTCGATTCTTAAAATAAGCAACTTTCTAATATGGTTGGATTGAACTTAGGACTGGTTTCTAGTTCAATAGGTCGAACCTATTAATTTGGTCTAATTCTCATAACATTGCATGAAAGGGTTGGTATGAATATATGCAATATCTTTTTTATCCTTCAATAACATGTAAGTAAGTCATAGATTTTGTGTCCTCCATACGCATGTGCGCATGCATATATCATGCATTTTAATCAAATAAATCAATGGTTTTAAATACACCATACCTAATCTTTTATCTTGCAGGGTTGTTTGGTCTTCTGTTTGTTAAAAATATATTTGTCAAAAGTTTATTTATTAGAAGTCGATTTGATAAAAATCAATGATTATAATAAAATTTATATTTAAATTTATTTTTTAAAAGTCAATTTAGTAAAATAAAATTTGTTTGGATAATATATAATAAAAATTATTTATATATATAATTAAAAAAAGTCATTGATTTTATGATATATAATTTTTATTACACACATGCAATATATTTGCAATGTTTGGGAAAATACATGTACTTAAAGTTTCAAATAACATATAATTTGATATGTTAAATAATAAAATAAATAAATACTGCCTCTTCATTAATCTTGCTTATTATTCTCAATCTAATAAATTACTTTCCTTTATTTGTTTGTTTGATCGATTAAATATGAAGTTGTACTGAGTAATTATTTTTATTAAGCTAATAAAATTTTAGTTTAATGCTGATGATCACTTCCTATATGATTTACCCAATCTCGCTGCAATATGTGATTTATGAAAAATTACAAGCTTAACAATCTTAAAAAAAATATAATGTTTGGTATACAATCAAAAGGGTAGAATAATAAAATAAAAATTAGTCATTCCCTCGTTAACGCCTAACTCCAACTTCAAATGTAAACTTAAGTGAAAGTAGTTCCTGGCAAATAAACTTTTAATGACTTTTTTAAAGGATTTTGATTTTTTTTTTTGGTAAACCAAGCAATTTTTACATTTGAAATTTTTCAAAAATACTTTGCGAATGTTAAAATCTTATTACTCAAATACACAGATAGTTACCATTTCGCAATAATTGAAGTCGTGTTTGTTTGACCGTTTTTCTTAATGCGTTGCAAAAGTTACTCTAAAACGTTTCAAAGCCAACAAACACATTTACGAGTATGTAACACCAAACAAATACACTATAAATATGCCTATTGTCATATCTTCCATCCATCACTCTTTCCATATGTTTGATTACATTGAAACAAATTTAAGCATTTGAAAATATAATTAATTAACGCCAAAAAAACAAGGTATCCTAATTCAAAAGAACTATTATTACCACATCTCTGGCATATTTTAAAAGGGTCAATAGTCATACGAGTAACCGTATATTGAGAATTGAGATTTCACTTCCTTTTTAGGGTTCCATTTAGTCAAAGCTTTATAAAAATGACAAACCCAAAATCAGCAGCCAACTGGAAAAATCCATTGTACGTAACTTTCTTTTCACACTTACCATACCAGATCCTATTTTCATTTAAAACCTCATCATTTATTTTTGCTCAAAGAAAAAAAAACCTCATCATTTATCTTTATCTACTTTTTTTTTTCCTTCCGGATTTATTTAAAAAGAATAGATATGTGAATCTGATTGAGAATGACTAGAAATGTCACAGAATCCGTTGAGTCCTAAAGTCACGCCATCGATCGATTTTATCAAATTCAACAGACAATCATTAACCCAATCACACACGGACAACTGTAGCCCTTCCTCTGTTCCTTTCCTAGACGTAACGTTTCTATTGGTTGATTTCAGTCCATTTAGGCCTTACCGTGTGCCTCCAAACACCCTAACCTCCCTCCTCTGACAACAGGACAACCCACACGCGCGTGGGACACTCGCTCCGAATCGGATTGTGGCAGCAGACATCACTATCCCCTGTTTTTAGCCGTGGGCCCCACTCTCTGCCTTCTCTCTCCTTATCTCACCGCCTATATATTTCAATTTTAATTTCAATTTCATCGCTCTCTTACAATCAAGACAGAGAGAGAAATAAATTCGGGTGTGCAGTGAAGGGAAAGGCTGAGGAAGGAGTCGAATCAGAAGGGCTTTTGAATTCGATGATGGAAGCATATAGAAAAAAACAGAGCACAGAAGAAAGCCATTGACTTTGATATCATATCACCTTGGAGTCATAGTAAGTCAGCTCCTCCATTTTTTTTTATTCTGTAGAATAATATTTTCTCAGATTCACTCCTTTTTTATTTAATTTTCTTTTCCTCTTACATGTCTTTTTCTCTTCCACATATCCCAGGGAGAGAGAAAACGAAGGATCTGAAAAGTTCATAACTCTCTTGGCTCTGTGCAACCAAACCAACCAACAGACTGTAGTATTTGTTTTCGCCTTTTACTTTCGAATTAAAGGTATCTTTTTCTCCGTACCTGGATTGGTTTCTGTTCCACGCACCATTTCTCTCTTTCCGTTCTCTCTTGCCCTCTTTTCCTCTCTCTCTCTCTCTCTCTCTCTGTTTCTGTCGAGCGAGTTGGAGTAGAAGGTGAAGATGGCAGAGGGTATTGTCAAATGGGCCTTTTCGTCTAGATTTGCCTGTGATGCTCTTGAAAAGTCAGTGAGATAATCCTTTGTTTCTTCTGTTCGCTCTATTTTTTTAATATTCCTTTCTTTTCTCTTTTCCCAGTCTCTTTCAAAATTTTTCGATACTGACAAAATATTTTCTCTTCATGGGTTTAAACTCGGGTCAAAAGAAAATGTCTTTTTTGCTTCTTCTGTCTATCTCTACCTGAAGCAGAGGCTTTCCTTATGGAGAGAAAAAATGAGTTTGGAAGGAGCCATGCATGACCGTTGACAATGAAACAACCTTTTCGGTTCTATCTCTGTTGTGAAAAAGAAAATTCTTTTTTGCTTTGTCAGTCTCGCAGCTTGTCTTCAATTTGAGGTCAAAAAGAAAAAGGTTGAAGAGTTGATCATCTAAAGTCCCAAAAAGTGCCTTGACTGAAGTGATTGTTACAGTTTCGAGGGAAAAAAATCCGGAGAACTAAAAGAAAGTCAGAGAAAAAGCAAAAGAGACAGAAAACCAAAAAATACCTCTGCTTTTTCTTTCTCCACTGTATGCTCCGTGTCCTTCGTTGCTTTTCCTCTCTGGCCAACTTCTGATTTATTGAATTACTCATTATTAAATAATGAATTCGATTCGCGCGGCTTACTGTTCATGTTTATGCGTTGTTTGTTTCTGATGAGAGCATTAGTGTGCAGAAAAGGAAATGGAGGGACACGTTGAGATGGGTCTTCTTGGGGACAACTTCGATCCGAGTTTGATTGCGAGGATTAGAGATGATGGCTATGAGAGTCGTTCTGGAAGCGATAATTTCGATGGCGTATCAGGGGAAGATGATCAGGATGCTGGTGACGATACGCCTGCTCAGAGATCCAAGAAGTACCATAGACACACTCCTCACCAAATTCAAGAGCTTGAAACGTAACCACTTTAATTAATTTCTCAGTCTTTTTTGTTTTTGTTTCTTCTGATTGATTCATCTGGTAATTTCCCTTTTTTTTTTTTTTTTTAGTTTCTTTAAGGAGTGTCCTCATCCTGACGAGAAGCAAAGGTTGGAACTTAGCAGGAGGCTTGGCTTGGAGACTAAGCAAGTCAAATTCTGGTTTCAAAATCGACGAACCCAGATGAAGGTAATTTGCAGAGAGTGAATCAGTCTACAAAAATTACTCATTTTTTTAAAGAACGAATTGAGAAAGGGCATGTTTGGGGAGACCAAAATGTTAATTCCCCTAATGGTTAAAGACCAGTATTTATTGCTGTTGATCTGTTGGATGGTGCTTTAATGAAGGTCTGTTTTTTTTTTTTCCTTTTTAATTTTGAAACCAGACCCAACTGGAGCGCCATGAGAATCTGATTCTGAGGCAAGAAAATGACAAGCTCCGAGCAGAGAACAGTATGATGAAGGAAGCCATGGCCAACCCAATATGCAACAATTGTGGGAGCCCAGCAATTCCCGGCCAAATCTCATTCGAAGAACACCAGCTAAGGATCGAAAATGCTCGCTTGAAGGACGAACTAAACCGCATATGTTCCTTGGCTAACAAGTTTCTGGGAAGGCCAATCTCAACCATGGCTCTCCCGAGCTCAAACTCTGGTCTTGAACTAGCCATTGGAAGAAACAATACTGTCAGTGGGATTGGCGGTATTCGTGCTGGGTCAGGCTTCCCAATGGGACTTGACATGGGGATGATGATGATGGGAAACGATCAAGTACAGGTGGAGAGATCTATGCTCATAGACCTTGCCTTGTCTGCTATGGAGGAACTGATGAAGATGGCTCAGGGAGATGCCCCTCTTTGGATTAAGACATTGGATGGCGAGAACGAAGTTCTGAATTTTGAGGAGTATACTCGGATTTTTCTTCCTTGTCTTGGCCCAAAGCCTCCTGCTTATGTCACGGAAGCTACCAGAGCCTCTGGAGTAGTGATGGTCAACAGTTTAGCCCTCATTGAGGCATTCATGGACATGGTATATATACCAAAACACTTCAAATCATATTCCTATATATACGTACATAGTTCTTATCATAATGGCAGTTAATGATGAATGTCGAGTCAAGAATTTTCTGAATCCTTTCTCTGATGATTTTATTATTGCTTTGAATGATCAATTCTGGGAATAGAATCGATGGGCGGAGATGTTTCCAACCATGATCGCTAGAGCTGTGCCCCTCGATGTGATATCAAATGGTCTAGGAGGAACCAGGAACGGGACTTTGCTAGCGGTATATTCCTCTCCTGTTTGTTTGATCCTTCTGCGTAGTGTCAGATACAACATAGTACTTCAAATTAAAATTAACGTACTATATGTCTTGTGACGATACGATGATTATGTCTTGTGTTAGATGGAAGCTGAGGTGCAATTGCTTTCGCCACTTGTTCCTGTTCGGCAAACGAGGTTCCTCCGACTATGCAAGCAACAAGCAGAAAATCTATGGGCGGTGGTCGATGTTTCTATTGAGTTTGGTCGTGACCCCACCAATGCACACCCCTTCGTCACATGTAGGAGGCTTCCTTCTGGCTGCCTCGTGCAAGATATGCCCAACGGTTACTCCAAGGTATATATATATACTTCTTCGTTTATATATTATATATGCTTAAACTTTTCATTACTGATGTGAAGGATTGTTCATGTACTGGGGTAGTACAGTCAGATTAATCAGAATTATCAGAATTCTTGGTGTTCCTTTTCTTTTAATTCATATAAATAATTAGCTGGACCTGCTTATTATTGCCTGTACCGTACGTAGCCTCTGAACGACGATCAGTCCTTGAGACGAGTGAATCAAGGCTTGCATGGTTTATTAATAACGTGAATTAAGCTTCATTTTTGGTCCCGCATCTTATGTCTTATTTTATCTTACCTGCGTCGGCATATAAATAAGACTAGAATCTTGGGTTTTTCGATGTTTGTTGTGTTAAAATCTGAGCCATGCTTCTATTCCTATCTCTCTAAATATATAATATATCACACAATATTTTTTATTGCGCTCGAGGTGGTAATGACCTGTATCCAACAGTTTTCTGCAATGATAATTTATATATATTGTATCCAGGTGAGATGTTAGTCCTTGTATTTTACAGAATCTGACCTTTAAAATTTGTTTTCTAATTATGTTATAGCGGAACACTCCATAAAATCCTCAAATTAATCAAGCTTTCATCGCCTATATTGGGAATAATCTTTGTCTTCTAACATCTATGCTATTACTTTTGTTTGGTTTCTCTGTGCAGATCTACAAGATATAGGTAAATATAAAAAGTTAATCATAAATACTTATTATGGTAGACTGGTCATTTTATATGTTATTTATGATTAATTTCATTTATGTTTATCTATGAAGCACATGGGTAAATGAGTTTGAACCTTGTCATGAGAAGTTTCTCAAATTTAATCATCCAGTATCCAAAAACATGTGTCTTGAATAGGATTACGCAATAAAAAAATGTTCCTCATTACCTTTCAACAATGAAGAGAATTAATATGTATTGTAATTTATGATATATAATTATATATATGTTCCTTATATGGGTGTGTATCCTATTGGGTAAGTAATTCCCTTCCTTATGCCAATTCCCTCGCAGTCTTGTTTGTGTTAGAATGATATGAATTCGGGGGATGTATGTATTAGTAGTGCACATCGTTACTTGGTTATGATGTGGTTGAAAGAAGTTACAAGTGGGAGTATACTGTTGCAGGTTACTTGGGTGGAGCACTGGCAGTACGATGAGAATGTCGTCCACCAACTGTACCGTCCGATGGTTGGCGCCGGCATCGGCTTCGGTGCTCATAGATGGATTGCCACCCTCCAAAGGCAATGTGAATGTTTGGCCATCCTCTTGTCCTCTTCCATGCCTGCCGATGATCACACTAGTATGTCACATTCTCATTCCACTTCCTTATCGCTAGCTAGTGTCTGCATATTAGCTTGTTCATTATGTTTCATCCAGAAAAAAAATTCATGTTCCGATGGGCATCGTTTCTTTATGTAACAGCATTGAGCCAGGGTGGTCGGCGAAGCATGGTGAAGTTGGCACAGCGAATGATGGACAACTTCTGTTCTGGGCTCGTGGCTTCGTCGGCTCGGAGGTGGGACAGTCTTCATGTAGGGACGCTAGGCGAAGACGTGAAGGTGATGACTCGGAAGAACGAAGGCGAGCCAGGCGATCCTCCTGGCATCATGCTCAGCGCCGCGACTTCCTTCTGGCTGCCCGTGTCTCCGCAAACCTTGTTTGACTTCCTCCGTGACGACCGCCGGAGATTCGAGTGGGACATCTTGTCCAGTGGCGCCGGAACCATGCAGGAAGTCGCTCTTATCGTCAAAGGACAGACACCTGGTAACTGCGTTTCTCTTCTTCGTACCAACGTAAGTGCTGTCTTTTTCTTTCCCGTTTTGATTTTCCGACGACTCATAAGTTGGATATCTTGTTTACTAAGCATGTATACACGTACGGATTCAGGGTGTTAATGGGAACGAGACGAGCATGGTGATACTGCAAGAGACATGTGCGGATGCTACAGGATCAATGGTAGTGTATGCACCGGTTGATGTCCAGTCGCTGAACGTGGTGATGAGTGGTGGAGATTCTTCGTACGTGGCTCTCTTGCCTTCTGGGTTTGCCATTCATCCCGACGGTCCTAATGTGGGTCGCAAAGGGAGTCCGGACAGCGGCGGCAGCGGCGGCGGCGGAAGCGTGCTGACGGTAGGGTTACAAATACTGGTGAACAGCCTGCCATCGGGGAAGCTGACGGTGGAATCCATTGAAACAGTGAACAATCTCATGACGGCCACAGTTGAGAAGATCAAAGAGGCGCTGAGATCAGTTGGATGAAGACGATGATGATAGAATGCAAGTAGAGTTACGGAGTCTGCGTTTAAGATTTAGAAATTGGGGATTTTGAAGGTGGAAAAGAATAAGAAAAGTATGGAAGGTGAAGAAAGCGAAGGTTTTGAGTCAAGAACGAACCACGAAAGAAAGAAGAAAGGTGCCATGGTGGGAATTGGTGGTTCGGGTATTGACTCGTTCACCTGTGACTCTGTCTGGGTTCTCTACTTGTCCTTGCGTCCCCCCCCCCCCCCCCAACGTTCTTTTTTTCATTATCTTTATGATCAGTGTTTGTTCTAGTTTATAAGTCTCATAAGTCTTATGTTACATACAATACAGGATATAAAGTTGGATCTGCAAAACATGCTTTGTTGTCTGTTCCATGCTTCTATTCCTTTTATTTATTTTTTTTATGTTCCTGACTCTTTTATAGCCAAAATTGTTATCTCCTTCCTTTTGGCTTCATCAGATGCCATCTTTTTTTCCCCCCCACAAGAACATGACCAAATTTTATCAATAAAAAGTTAAATATACCCATTAATAACCGAAGCCAAAACACTAAAAAAAATCTAAGTACAACCTACCACTCACCTAACAAAAAAGGGGGGGGGGGAATCACCATGAAATCCCACAAATTAAAAGCATTGAAAATACCCAAAACTCTCGTTATATCGCCAAATATCTATCAACTCTCAAAGCATTTTTGAAAATTGTGTATTTCTTCGCTTGAATGAGTTCTTACTGAGGCTGGAGATAAGCTTCAAAGACCAGAATTTTGGTAAGGCTTCAAATCATGATGGGTGATCCTTCAAAGACCAAAATTTTGTTGCTTAGTGGGGGAGCTTCAGAGTGCATTTTCTTATGTTTGAAAGAATGGGTATTTTGGTAATTCTGTCTTCAAATTCATTCACCATTAACTCTCTCGAGACCTGATGGATATTTGGTGATTTTTGGGTATTTTCAAGGGTTCTGTAGACTTCAAGGTGATTTTTCCAGAAAACAAATAACAATAGAAAGCAAAACAAAAAACAAAGCAACAGTGAACAGAAACAAATTAGCCAATACCCTTAGGAACAAAACAGCCATTCCTGGATGAAGCATCGACTGCCAAAAAAATTGCAGCTGATTTCGAACAAGAGAGAGACGACAATTCTTGAAAGAAGAGAGCAGGCTTCTGATATCCTGAACAATACCCAGCCACTTCCAAGTTACTGCTTCAAACAACACCTCGCATATATTCACCTTCCTCACAGACCCCACCGCCCATTAAATTTGTTTTGCTCCAAGTGGCCTCTAATGGAAGATATAGTATATAATTACGTGTGTGCACAAATCACGGGGAAAATTTAAGAACGACTTTGTTTTTCTTTGGTAAAAAATGTATTTTTAATTAAAATTTAAAATCAACAATCTGATTAGTTTTCGTTAACCCTTAAATAAAAAATGATATTGCATATTTTATTCTTCCAATATAGGAATTTTATTCTCCCTGGATTTCTACCTTTTAATTTTTATTTAACATTTTCAAGGACAAAAAAAATTTGTATTTAACATTTTACTACAATATATTCTCCTTTGTCTTGCTTCGGAAAAGAAAAACAAGTTATTTATTCATATGAATGACTATTGCTGATAAATAACTGCATTTATATAAACACTAGAAATGTGATTTTTTTTAGACGAAACTAAAGTAAAATATACTCCCTCCATTTTTAAATATATAAAAAAATAAATAATTCACACAATTTAAAAAAGTTGGTGAAGTATATAATAATTATATCTAAAGTTAAAAAATTTAGACTAAATTGCCCTTACAATTAATGAAATAAATTTGTCTAGTAAAAATAGATATTAACTTTATGAAGAATAATTTGAAAGATATGATAAATACTTCTTAAAATTTATATTTTTTTATAAATAAAAAACAAAAAAAATATATGGTATGTTTTTTTATATTCCAAAACGGAAGGACTAAGGAGTACTACGATTCTACGAAGTAACCCGCTCCAACTTATTTTTTTGTTGGGCCCATACTTGCTTTTATTTTTGGGATGTTCTCATGTGGTTCTCTTTTTGTTGAAACATAGAACACTGAATCACATTCCGGTAACTCGTAGGAACCATCGTAGCGACAATTGGGTTACAAGATCTGGGCCTTGAACTCTCAAAGACAAAATGCAAATTCATTCTCAATGTACCCTTAAAATTAAATTAATTACATTATCTCCCCTGTAGTTTTCCTTCCCTGATCTTTCCTTCCTTCTTTCCCCTTGTTTCCTGAAATGTCCTCTTTAGTATTTGTTCTTTTGTTTCGAATCCCCGCTTTTCTTCTCGGCCGCTTACCCCCCAGGTTCTCCTCCATGTCTCCATGTACAACGAACAAGCTCTAAACCCTAAAATCCCGACGCCCTCGAGAGCTCAAAATGCGACTCTTCATTTTCTATAACACCAATATCTTCAAGCGCGAGACCCTGACACATGAAAGTCCTCGATTATTTCTGAAGATGTTTAGCTTCACCCGAGAAATGTCGCAGTCCACTGCCATTCCCAAAAAGCTTCTACGAGTTCGAGATCATGGCTATGATAACTACATGGAGATCGAGAAGAAAATGAGGAAAGTTCTTAAATTTCAGGACCTCATTCTTTCGCAACTCAACCAAACACTTCCAATCTCTCGCCTCGACATCCTTGCTCGCAGAATCGGCTTCAAACAGCACGAAGCCGGTGCTTTCATACTCAAATTCCCCCATGTTTTCGAGATATACGAACACCCGGTTCAGCGAATTCTCTACTGCCGATTGACCCGGAAGGCCGTTCTCCAAATCGATCAAGAAAAGCAAGCTCTCATCGCGCAAATCCCAGCCGCTGTTACGCGCCTCCGGCAGCTTCTGATGATGTCTAACAGCGGAAGGCTTCGTCTTGAGCATGTTCGCATTGCTCGGTCGGCGTTTGGTTTGCCGGACGACTTCGAGTACTCGGTGGTTCTTAGGTACCCGCAGTATTTTCGATTGTTTGATGCCAAAGCGACTAGGAATAAGTACATTGAACTTGTGGAGAGGGACGAGAAGTTAACTGTGTGCGCCATAGAGAAAGCTAGGGAGAAGGAGTACAGGGAGAAAGGAATTGAAGCCGAAAATATTAGGTTTTCTTTCATTATAAATTTCCCTCCGGGCTTTAAGATTGGGAAGTATTTTAGAATTGCAATGTGGAAATGGCAACGTCTTCCGTACTGGTCACCCTATGAAGATGTTTCAGGGTATGATTTGAGATCGATTGAGGCTCAGAAGCGAATGGAGAAGAGAGCAGTTGCTACAATCCATGAATTGTTGTCCTTGACAGTGGAGAAGAAAATTACTTTGGAGAGGATTGCTCATTTTCGTATGGCCATGAATTTGCCCAAAAAGTTGAAAGACTTCCTTCTTCAGCACCAGGGGATATTTTATGTCTCAACTAGAGGAAATCAAGGGAAGTTGCACACGGTTTTCCTTAGGGAGGCATATAGAAAGGGAGATTTGATGGAGCCCAATGATTTGTATTTAGCAAGAAGGAAGCTTGCTGAGTTGATTTTGGTGAGTCCCAGGAAAGCAAAAGTTGATAGAGAATTGGTTGGCTATAAGAGAAGCAAAGAAGAGGATGAAATGGGGCCAATAAGAAGAGCATGTACTGAGAATGTTTTTGAGGACTTCAAGGGTGGGGATAGGCGAGGGCAGGATGGGGATGCGGAGGCTGATTTGTCATCAGACGTAGGTTCTGATGTTGATTCTGAAATTGGAGATGAGGATGAAGATTTTGATGATAATGTATCAATGGAAAGGACATCTTAACTTAGTAGCCAGAATATCATGTCAGGTTGAGAAGGTTGGATTGAACTTGGAAGTCCCTTGATAACTTCAAAAGAAAATATTTAAAGCAGTGGACGCCAGGTAAGATTATTTATCTCATCTCATCTGAAGTGATCATTCTGATATGTGACTTGTTTGGCTGGAATGCTGTGAGGCATGTGGCCATTATCGTGAATATCTTTTCTTCCATGATGGCTGACAGACCATACTGTGGGGATTTTGATTTGCGAGAAAATTATATTAAGGCGGCATCTCAGCGAAACGCAGATCCTGAAGGGTAATTGTATATGCCGTTGTTAAACCAATAAGACTAGAAGTATAGAATTGATATGTTAACAGGTTTATCTATACATAGAGAAAAAATTGAGTGGAAGGAAAGCACCAAGCAAAGAAAGAAATTACTCCTCAAGCCTGAGGCTTCAAATTGTTGGAAGGTATAGTTCTTAACCTGGATGTTCATCCAATCATGAATGGAAACTCAATTTAACTTGAGTTTGGTCAGTATCCAGCTTTGGAAATCATGAAATCATTTACTTGTTGACCAAAAAAGAACAGCAGTTTATAAATCTACGCACAGATGATTCAACATTGGCTCATCTGTCTTATGCTGGTGTAATAACTGTCACTGCTCCTCAACAACAAGCATGATCTCACTGAGGTTGGTTTGATGAATTTCATGGTGTCACTGTGCTTTCCATGTTTCTTCATAATTGGTCTCAAGCCTAGATAGGGAAAGAAAAAGTGTCGTAATAGGCCTTCGACTAAAAAACTTAAAAAGTTAAGCTCTATGGAATTTTCATGGCATGGATTGACCTCCAATTAGATGGAGCTAAATTTTGGAATTTCTTATGTATACCACTTTTCTTCAAGGTTCAAGTTGCCATAGCTAGCAAGGCGCCTTTGATCATTACTTCAGGCTCCTTCACTGGTTCTTTTCCTTGTCTTTTATGTATCTATTAAATCCTATATAAATCATCCTATTCTGTGAATCATGTGGTTTCTCTCTATAATTCTCAACCTAGTGAAAGTGCTGCTCATCTCTTTATTTTATCTATTATTATGCGCCTAACGGCTCAGTCAATTCCCAAGTCATCCGATAACTCTCCCGTCGGCTTCAGGCCGCCCATTGCCTACGTTATCTCAAAGCTTTACCTGGCAAAGGCTTGTTCTACCCCCCTCAATTTGATCTCAAACTTGCCTCCAGTGACTTTGACTGGGTTGTGTATTTTCCTCAACTCATGGCATTCAAAGAAGCAAACCACTGTGCCACGTTTATCATCAGAAGCCGAATACCGGGCTTGTCAGCTGCCAATCCAACTTTCATAGACGCACTAATTAAACTGTCATCTTGCGCAAGAAAAGCTCCAGGCAGGTGTCATCCATCTTCTTCCAATCCAAACGCTGCTCAGATTGCTGAAGTATACGCCAAACCCTGGGTCCTAGTCCATTTCAGTCGTCAATGAACAAACTGGGAATGTTAGATATACATTCTCTAGCTTCCAAGGGCATTAGAGTTAGTAAAGGACGACGGTCGAGGGATAAGTTTTATCAGTTAGTTAGTAATTGTATTCTGTTATGTTAATTCGCCAAGTGTACATGTGTGTTTGAACCCAATTTAGTATCAACAAAAGTAAAGTTGCTCTGTTGCCATTTAGTGTTACCCGTGGTTGGCCTGGCAGGCATTAACATGACTACTAATTATGAGCAAATTAGTGGAGACTGCAAGCTAATAATAAGCTTGGTCATTTTTCCGTTCACCTGTTGACTTGGACGGTTTTATGAGTGTAGACTAAGGGGAAAAGAAACTACAGCGAACAACTTCGTACGTCATGGCAAATTTTTTTGGGAAAATATCAATTAAGGAATGTTAAGAGGAAATTTATGTTAGTCAAGAATTATTTGTTATTAAAATTTGAATGGATATTTGTCAATTTAAATTAATTTTTTATTAATAAATATTCATTTAGATTTTAAAAATAACTTATTTTAAATTAACAATGGTCTATTTGGACTTCTTTTCATCTGAATTTTGATAACAAGTAGTTTTTGATTGATATAAATTTTTTTCAACAGTTCTTCATCAGTATTTTCTCAATTTTCTACAAAACTCGCTTCTCTGAAATTGCCATGTGATGGACAGTTTCCATTTATGAAAACAGAATAACGGATTGATGAAAGGTAAGATTTGCATGACCATAAACTATACAAGAGTTGAAGGGAAAAGAAAAGGTTAGATGCGATCGAGTCATTTGGTGGTGGATTTGGTTCATCCGACATTGAAGGGGAACGTGTAAGAAACGATAATGAGCTGCTTGACTTCTTGTAGTTATCATGAATGAAAATTTACTGCTTTAGTTTATACAATTTCATAGTTCTCTAGACAGTTGGGTTTATCATATACTATATGGGATTTTACTTCAATGTTAGCACGTCAACTTACAGGTTTGACCTGTCTTTGTGCTTTTTTGGTGGAATTCATAATAAATCGAAAGCAATGTCTTTTCTTACACCCTATTGACTATCGGATATTATCGGAAAATTTTCCAAGGTGAACCAAAGATTGAAGAAAAGGGGCATACTTTACTGTGGAAAACTACATGTGATGTGCATGTGGGAATTGAATATACATTATTGATTGATTATTTGACTTAAAGTGTAATTTGGCGAGAGTAAGTGCATCACAATTTTTCTAAAAATTAAAGTGATTTTTTGTCTTGATACTTTTTTTCGATGAACGCTTGACACTCTATATTAATAAGTGAAGTAAATTTTTTTCTGAACCATTTTTCAGAGCCTCTAGAAAATGATTTAGGGAGAAGATCGGCCCACTTACTAATATAGGGTCCAAGCACTCATCGAAGATAAATACATGGACAAAAGTATACTTTAATATCCTAAAATATGAAAATGACAATAAAATCTTGTAAAATATTATGATTCTTCTCAAGTTTCTTAAGACTTTAGACATTAATGATTTTTTGTGAAATTATTTTAGTTTAAGTAATGACTACTTTTTTTTATAATAATTAAAATGGAACAATTAATTGTAACTTTTCTTGTGTAATTTTTTGATTCACTAAAGTCCAAGTGTTGCAAAGATTCATAACTATTTTAATTTAAACAATGATTAATTTTCTTCTAACAATAACCATAATAGAATAAGCAATTATAACTTTCATAATTGCTTTAGTTTGCAAAGCACTTACTTTAGTTTGTTGAAGAAAAGTTGTAATTGTTTGTTTCATTATGGTCACTGACAGAAAAAAAAATTAATTATTACTTAAATTAAAGCAATTATTAATATTTATTTTTAGGTTAAAATACATTTATGACTCTATACTAATAATAAGCGCGGACATCTGGTTGATGATCATTGAGTAAACATGTCTTACTGCATACATTATATATCAAGAGGTTTAAAAATGAGCTACGTAATTGCAAGATATTAGTAATAGTAATTAGTAATTGTAAAGTAATACGATGTGCTTTGGATGTTATGACTTACAGATGATTGGGAGAAGATCCTCTCTAGTCTGTTCTTTTTAATTTTTAATCATTTGATAAAGACTTGGATGATTTAGATTTGATCTCTTGTAAAATATTTTATTTTTTATTTTTATTATATTTTTAAAATTTTTCATGTCAAAGTTAAGCAATTTCATTTTTAATAATTATTTTTTCGCCAAAAAAAGTTCTATTATTTTCATAATTTAACATCTTAATAATAATTTTATAGAAAATTATATTTAAAATGTTTAAATCTTGATCCAATAATTAAATGTTAAAAAGAACAGAAGATGACGAGGAGGAAAGAGGAGGGAATCATTGCCATAGATGACTAGTCCCTTCCAAGAGCGCTCAAATTCCCAACAAGTGGACGCGTTTTCATTTTGTTACGCAACCCATATGGCCAAATCTCCAATTTTTTTTGTTTTTTGTTTTGGGAAAAACCAATATCTCCATTTTATCGCTAAATTAATCAATCCAATCAATATTACATGATATTGATAGCCTAAACTATGGACTTACGTGTTTGCACATATTATATATGACCACAGGTATTTTCTCGTATTCAAACTTAGCTCTTGTTTAATTAACACAAGCACCCTCATCCTTGTCTTCAGATATTTTAGATTTGCTTTTGTTAGCATACTGGTGTTGGTGGCTATTGTACCGTCCAATTTATTAAAAACCAAATCAATAGAATGATGCAAATTTACATATTACCCCTCTTATATCAAGTTGCATTGCTTGTAGATCATCAAAATTTTATTTATTTCTCAAAGTCTACATCTTATTTTATATAATGTTCTACTCCCTACATTTAAAAATGTAAGACATTTTCACCTCTATAAAATAGTTATCTACTTTTCAACTAACTTTATCTTTTTATATTTACTCTTATTAAACACTTTATAATAAATATAAAGTCATTATTAATAGGGGTACTTTTAAAAAAAAGCAATAATTATACCTTAAAAGATTAAAAATACCTTTCATTTTCTAACATTCAACTTCTCAAAAAATGTCTTATATTTTTAAATGAAGATTACATCATTATTTAGAAACAAACCTTACCATAAAATATAAGAGTAGTAATTTGAGGATTTTTGTTTCGCACAGTATTTTAATTATTGAAAAAATACCAAAAATGTGTCCACATACTTCAATTGCGCTTTATTTTTAGTCCCTTTAATTTGATCAATCTGCGACATTATTCACTTTTTAATTTTAAAATACACATAATTAAGACCATGAGCTTGTATAGATGAAGTTAATTTCATTGTAACTCTATTAATCCCTTTGCTGACATTATAATAATACATTGACATGGAAATAAATTGATCATATATGAGTAAAAATAAAAACAATGCAAGAGACAAAGGTAAGATTAAATACACATTATTGAAGGATTTTAAGGTGAGATTAAGTGCATATCAGCAAAGGAATTAACAGAGTTAATTACATATCGATAAAACTAATTATGTTAGATTCTCATGTGCGTTTTCAAAATTGTAGAGACTTACATTACGAATGGATCAAACTACAGAGACCACGACCAATGAAATAAAATTATAAGATTTAAAAATGTTATACAATCAAAATACAGTAGCCTAACGTTGTATTTATTTTTGTTAATTATTTTATTGGACTTGAAATTTGAATTCCTTTGGAATTGACAAAGTTTATCAGCTTCGACTATACTACGATGCCCATTTTATTTCGATAGTTGATTATAATAATTCAGATGATTTGAAATTGTGAGCTCATTAGGGTAAATATTGCATGTCATACGTATTAATTGAAGCAATATTCAAAATATGTAGATTATGCGTCAACTAGGTGCACATCAATAGTGGAACTGGGTGCTTGTGAGAGATATATATATATATATATATAATACAAAACCCAATTTTATTGACAAGTGACAATGATCATGATCTCTGTTTTTTTTTTTTTTGAAGTATAGACATTATTTTTTGGTTGAAACAGGGGAGATACGTAACGTGTGACGCGACGCTATACATTGGGGACAAATGGAATCATGCAAGGATAAAATTTCACATATGATAATTAATCTGAAATGCACCTGTGGAATATTATTATTATTGCAAATTTAAATTTTAGATGGGGATCGCGTGCGGTAAACAAAGAAAAAATGTTAAAGTCGACGGCCTTGATTGCAGTATTCTTTGAACAGGTGGAGCCACGTGCCAACCACTTTAGGCTATTTGGCTAGTTTTTCTATGCTTCACTTTGACTCCTCTCTCTCTCGTCACCTTTATTTTGAACCAGCTCCAATGTCCAGGTTACACACATTCGCCTGCTTTTGCATACTAAATTACTAACATGTCACTCTTTAAAAAAAGGAAAAAGAAACAAAAGAAATTCGTCCGTTTTTTTTTTATGTATGCTCTCTTTAAAAAAAAAGAAGAAGCTAGATTTAATTAGAGATCCATGAAGCAATTTAAACATTTTATAAATAATTCTGACTTTCTTAAGTTAAACTTCCATAACGACAAATATACTTGAAAAAATGCAATATTAAAGAATGCTTTGACTGAGCTTTCTGAAACATAAAATGAAGGCTTCAATTTTATCAGGTTAACTCCTTCCACCTTTTCAAGTGTGGCTTTGACCATGGATCAATCAAATTCAACTACAAAAGTAAGAACATTAGCAATATCATTCTATATCTTTTCGTTGTTATGTTGCTTAGATGCTTAAAGATTCTTTCCACCTCTTGTCAAGAAATTGTGGGCTACTAATAACTAAAATGAGAGTGTTACCAAGTTTGCAACCATTTGAAATAAGGATAATATTGGTAACATATCTTCTAAAAAGAAAAAAAATTTACGTACATTGAAATGAATTGATAAAAGTAGAAATTATAGAGATAATCATTTTTTAAGGAAGCTAGAAAGGTCTCTTTGAAAAAATTATAATAAAGTTCTCATTCAAGAAGAGGGATTTGCATTCCGTGCTCATCACCCACAAGGGTGATGTTAGCCCTTCATTTTGTCCTAAAATGATATATACCCTTAATTTTAAATTAATTTTTTAATATTTTAAATATTATATTTGTGAAAATAAAAATTATAGAAATTTTTAATATTAAATATAGACTACTCTTGGTACTTATTAAATGATGAG